GCTCGGCAACTGGTGCAGCGATTAACAGATTGACACTTACATGTCAATCTTTCATGTGATAGGTAGAATTTAACCATGGCTTATGCCGCAAAATGATGACTGGTGTTATAACGTAACTGGTACAGATCTAGACTAGCAATCTGGAGGTCACTGACTACTATCGTGAAAGTCTCGTTCTTGCAACAGTGCCAGTCTACCAATTCAAAACTGTCTCAGACAGTTTAATAATTAACAATGCGTTCTAAAAATAGTCTAACCGCCATGATGTAAACGAAATAATTTGTTTTATTGTTTCAAAACTTTTTTGTTTAATCACTTTTAAAGTATGTTTTTTTTCTTCAAAAATTGAGTTTATAATGAATGATGAACAAAAAAAGATTTGTTGCAATTAATTGTTTATGTTCAAAGTTAACCGGAAGCTAAATTTCACTTGTTCACCAAATCACTTCGGAAGTTACCGATTATTTAACTCACGTTCACAGTAGTATTTATAAAGGGCTGTTTCACTTTGAATTTATACTGAAAATAGAATCACGTTTTTTTGGGGGGGGGGGGGAAGGGGGGTGGGAGACTAAGAAAAATTAGTGCGTAGGATGAAGAATTTACTTATATTTGAGAATTTTTGATCAAACAAGTGGCGTTACGGTGACCCGTGAAGTTTAGCTGGGGTGCGGCTTAGGCCAGTTAAAAACTACTCATAGTACCTCGCAGAGATGGTGTGAAATACTGCTGTCAGACGCACGTTTTATTTAAATATACTTTTCACCTTTTATGACCTGATTTTCCCTGAAGTTTCAAAATACTTTTTCGAAGCTCATCCTGTTGTTTCTTTCTTACTGTGTTCTTATCTTAGCAGTTTACTGGCCATGATTTACAGATGTCTTTCACCTTCAGCCTTTTTGCAAAGCAATATGAAAGCAATGATGAAGTCACTATACGAAGCTGAAACGACTGTCAAACACTTGTAACACTTAGTGATGGAACGTACAACAGCGTTTACGTGACTACTCTTGATTGTCAAGATGGTAGAGCGGTAGAAATGCAAACATTTGTTCTCGAAAATGTGGAAAACACTAACGAGTGTCTCCATAAACTTGGTAATCAGGCAACTATCCCTATCCCAAAATATATTCAGCTGCTGAAATAAGGAATAGCAGTTAACATATATTAAAATTAGATTTCGTCAGGAACTACTTTTGTTTCAGGCGATATGGACCACAATTTTGCTTCTATGTATAATTTTATCTATAAGCTTCTTTCATAAATCTCTTTATAGTGTCTTACATCTCTAATTTTTACTGCGTTTGAATATGCTTTTTTATTTGGCTATTGCTATTCGCTCTGAAAATTACTCCCTTTTAACGAATATTTTTGACTTTTAAGAGTTTAGATGAAAAAAATTATTTGCTTAATTTAATTTGAATCTCCCGCTGATTGATTATACTAGATCGCATTTCTTTTTCTCTGTTAAAATGTCGCCTCCTAGTACGGACGCATCAGCAATATCTGAAGATGAAGCTACGATAGATGTTTACCTTGAGTCTTATTGGAAACATCATCACTTACTAGAGATCCGTATACATTCACCTGACGCGTCTTAAACAGGATGAAATGCACGTCCTAAATCTCACAGTCAGCAACTAATAGCACAGATAAAAAAAAAGTCATGAAGAAGTTAAGTGTCCTTTTTTGCAAAATGATCAACAACTGGCAACATTGTGCATGCTTTGCTTGTTGGATTAGCCAGAGAGACAGCAACAAATATTAGGCTTAAGGCATTATTTAGTGCATTTATTCGCATAGAATAATCTCATAGATTAGATTATCAATCGAAAATGCCTTTGCATAATTTCAACTCATTTATGGAAGAATTACATTGTTCGCATACAGTTTGTTTCATGACATGCGTTACCAATTATTTCAAGTAGACAGTTAAAATTGGAAATAATTGCAAGTGATTTGATTCTCTAAGGGGAATCAGATCAAGTGTATTATTTAGTGTGATGTTTTTCATACTATAAAGTATAATTATATTTCAATAGTTTACACACAAATGTTTCATACTACTTTCGCTAATTAGTAGTATGTGTGCAGATTCTGTTTGTTATATGTATGTTAAGATTAATTGTTTATGGAAATCTGTAATTTATGATTATTTCTCAACCACTTGAAAATAAATAACAAAATTCTTAAATTATTGAAAGGTGTAACAAAACATGAAGAGTAAATGTGAGAAAATGAATTAACAGAAATGAAGTGAATATCCATAGTTCAGGATGGAGATGATACCAGACTTCAATACAGAGTTCTACTTCATCTCTGTTGTCCTGTTCTGAAGCTTGAAGTTATGTACTGACTAGCTTTTTGGTGTTTTTAGGTCCAGAGCTTGCAGTTTTTTTTATAAATATTTATACGTCTTTACCATTTTCTTTGAATAAAGCAAGAACTACAGTGGTCTATGTAGAATAATATAGTACCATCACTTATTTCGTTGGCTTCTCATCAGCGGCTTACAGCCTAAATAAATTATGACGTCTCCCTGACGAAGGAGGAAATATATGACGTCTTTCCAGAAACTTTTCTGTACTTAAACCTCATAACTTATTTAGGCTGTAAGCAGCTGATGAGAAGCCAACGAAATTAATGATGGCACCATATTATTCTGCACTAACCATTGCTGTTCTTGCTTTATTCCAATTCATCAAGGGGAATAAATGCATGACGTACCATTTTCTTTATTATCCATCCATAGGGCTTCAACATCATACCTTTATTACACTCAACCCTCTAGTGTTACTCTCAGTTGGCTTCATGAAGGCCCACAAGTTTTCGCTTACTATACATAAGGTCATCTTCATGTCACCTTCAAACACTCAACCTATTGCTTTCCATTGCGGTTCCAATTTAAGGAATTTACCATTCTTAAAAGAGCTTATGAAATATTCATAGTATTTTACCAAAGGTTTTATACTATAAGCCACTTAAAATCATAATTCATTTATTTTCTTGACATCACATTCCAGTGAGACCGTTTAACAAATGTCTGTTTCAAGACTGAAGAGAACCTTCTGTTGATTTTGATATTAACCATGGCCGACGTACAGTGACAATTCCTTGTCTTAAAAAGTTAGTATCTGGTGCTTTATCCCCAGATGAACTTCTCTTAAGTCAACAAGTCAGGGCAGTATAACTCATGTTGTTTCTTGACTCCAGTCTTAATATCAGAAATATTTTCACATTAGTGGGTGCGATTGATATTAAGAGTTACAAGAATTTTATTTTGAAGTATTGTAGCAAGCAATTGAGATGATCATTGTTTACGTGTCGTGCATTATGAAATTTGTTTGAAAAATAACCTTTCCTAATGTTTTTCAATGATATTTAGTTAAATATCTCTGTGAAAATCATATTCTAAAGATGTGGATATAGATGACAGAAGCTGAAGGGTTTGTCTGGATGATGGCACTATTCGAACTATCGGCTTTTGTATTATTAGATTAGCGCTGTTTAAATTAGAGTAACAAGATAAAATGGTTAACCAAGTCTAAGCTTCACTGCAGGATAATTCTAACAACTGCTCTTTTGTGATAAATCTATAAATGAAATATTAATCATCGATTACATGTTTGGGCGTGAGTGAGAGCCAGTGTACAAAAACCATTTGCTTTATTACGTGATCAAAACTTTGATGCAGACAATTTGGATCAATTGTGCTATGAGTAACAATATATCCCAGCATACCTGTGAAGTCACGACATTTAGAACCGATGAATTGATGTCTTCAGTCCCACAGTAGTTCCTACTCGCTGGACCACCGATAAGAGGACTCTAGAACATTTAGATTTCGCGTGCGGATGATTTATGTTTAATGTCACACAAACTTGAAGACTTACAGGGGAAAACCAATAAACTGGTTGGAGAAGCAGCCGGAAAAGACAGGACTGCAGGTGAACATAGAGGAAACGGAGGTGATAAGGACAACCAACCAACATCAACAGCAACAACAACCAGCTCCAGTCACCATCTAAGCGGGAAGATTTGAAAGAGATAACTTCCTGCCATTCATCTAAGAAGAACGGTTTCAACCAGAGCTGGTGGAGCGGATGAATAAATCAACACCAGCCAGAATAGGAAAGTTAAGATACTCCCTCATCAACCTGAAACCAGTTTAGAAATCTTCCGCACTTCACTTTAGTCGGATTTTCATCAGAAGTATCTAATCAGTCATTTCTTCTTTACAGGTCAGAAACCTGCACAGCATGCCACGTAAAAAGGATTTTTAACAGGTTAAAAACTTTTGTCAACAGCTGCTGCCTTCACTGACTCCACAGTGAGGATTGAATGGCCAACCGGCTAGAAAGAATTAGCAACAAGAAACCCTGACAACAAACAAACTAACAGTTTAACTCCATTATAGATAGTATTTTATTTTGATAAACCAAGAGTTGATTGCTCAACAAATATGTATGAGAAAAATGGCGATGGTTCAGGCGTACATTGAGGAGGTTGTCGAATGACAGTGCGCACAATGCAAGCCATTGTTCGAGTAGAATCTGGATGGGAATCGACGAGTAAATAGTCGATGTGAAAGTGACATGGAGGAGATCGTGTGACAAGGAGGTGGAGGAGGAGGAGGAGGAGATGAGGGGTGATGGCCAATTGTGGACCCAGGTGAAGAGGGTGACAGAAAATAGAACAAAGTGTAGATGTGCTCTTGAAACCTTATGTTTCACTTGGAAGGCAAGGTAACAGTAATAATAAAGACACATAAAAGGTCCATTAGGCTTATACTAACTTTCACTTGTCTATCGAAAGATTTCGTCAGTTGATAGCAGTCATTGAGATGACTTGAATATTAAGCCTGCTTATTAAAGCATCTACCATAGAGGTGTTATTGACACTTTCACACAAACAAAAACACACGCACACACACACGCAGACACATAAGAAAAGTCACTGACAACAATAAAAGAAAAATATGTATATTTTTTATCTGGTTCAACGTTAATTATTGGTAAAGAATGCAATTCAGTAAGAAAAAAACAAACAAACAATTACGCCAGACATCGACTACATAGAAAGAATATCAGTGAATAGAAAAGAAATCATGACATCAATAATATATATATATATTTTAATCATTTTGCTTTAAAATGCTCTGTTTAAAGTGATAAATCATAAAAATATACCTTGTATTTGTGTATTTCACTGGAATGAAAGAATGATTTGAAGAGACAATGGAAACAAACAAACAAACAAATGAAAGCAAATAAACAAACGAATATGATTTTCTTTTTTTTTTATATAAATATTCCCAATCACAGTTCAAAAAATGATAGTGTACTTGAATTCTTTTGCGATGACTTCAGACAACTTTGATTGACTTCTACTGTCAAGTAGAACAAGAGATAGAAGTGTTCTGGATAAGAAAGTAGAGTATGAAGTTGAAATTTATTCACTACTCAAAATCACGATATTTTCTTGGTACAGAATTATAAAAGCACATATGATATTCAGGGAAACAACGACAACGATGATGCTTTTTAATTTCTTCACTACCTGACGGCACAAAACTCATAAAATACCATTCATTACAACCCAATTCTTGGCATAATTCAAAGCATTTTTTTGCTGTTGGCACAACACACATGAAATTCCCTGTTGCTGGTAATAAAAATATTAAAAATAAAAATGGAACTATGATTATTATTACTATTTCGTCCTCAAATCAAAAACTATAATATATACTGTATACTTCGTAAAAACAGCGATCATAGGTTCTAAGAGAATGAAGACACGAAGTCACAGATAAGATAGACTAAATGAATACAGTATTAATGTCATCACCGTCATCTTTTCTTTGGGTTCCGAGTGCCACTCAGGACTTCAACACCACATCTCTATTTCGTCTCCTTCTCTACATTTCTTTTTAGATGACTTCACTATTGCCCATGAGTTTTAGTCTCCTCCCCACGCTATGCATTCCATATTACCATCGGACGCCAAGCTGGTCATTTCTCATTTGCGTTCTTCTCCATGTCCTTGCGTGTGATGTCAGTTAGTCAGTAACAATCCTGAGTATTTCAAACGTCTGATGTTTTACTAAAAAGAATGCCATAATGGTAAATGCTACAGATTAATACGAGTAGTAAGAAAGCACTCATGTAAAACAGCAGTGCTTTTCAGCGAGACTGAAGTGACTTAAAGTCAGGATGGCTCTTTCTATCATTAGGAGTGAGACTCACCAGTGGCGAACGCGGATTAACTCAGACAAATGAATTATTTCAAACCATTCAACTTCCAACCAGCTACTAGAGTGAACTAGTAATACACTTAACTGCGTGATTTTCAAAAGAAGTTTAAATTCTGAATGAAGTGATGTGATTGAACATTAGAAATTTTCTGTGTTTTTTCAATAGATTTTCACTAGGTTTTATTAATTTGACATGTATTCATAATCTGTAATATTGTGATCACATTAAAATCAATAATTCCAAATGTAGTCTGTAATTTATTCCCTTTGGGAAGTCTTGGTGTAAAATAAAAATTGGGAATAAAATCAGGTAAAAGGATTTCGAATGTTCAGCTTACAAAGTAATTGTCACAACACTCTATTTGTCTTATTTTTAGCCACCTGTAAGCACCATCTAACTAGTGAAATATTTAAATCCAGTATGTTTAAAGCTATATTTTATGACAATATGTTTCAAATGTGCCACAACTACAAGATGTCCTTTCGTATTAGGTTAGAATACAGTAATAATAACATCTTTATTCCGGACAGTATTTATAAAATGTACAGAATTTTAAGAGTAATTTAATGCGCGATTGAAACAATGGTCTCTAAGCTAAAGCACAAACGATTCCACTATGATATATCTGCTTTCTCTCCTTCAAGAAAGCCACCATATCTGGTTGCAAAACCGATTGTGTGATGTTGAGAAGTACATTTTTAGACCCAACGACAAAACTAGAGAACAGTTATCTCATGTACTGGGACATGCTGCCACCCGGAATCAAGCCTTTTCCCAAGTTTAGTAGGAATTCGCGAATCAGAAGCTCGTAAACATTTTAAATACCCACAAGAGAACTTAATACCATTAGAGGTCATATCTTAGTCGACTGAAACAACTCGAACAAGAGAAAATATATGCAATAGAGAGAGAGAGGGAAGTTTTTAGTAGCCCAAGTTTTAAGCAGAAGGCCAGATAGGCACCTGAACGCATCCTCTTTTTTTTAATTAATCAACAAACCTGAAGAATAAGACAAGGTCATATACACTAATATAACCGTGTGGCTTGTATCATATTGGAGAATTCAATATTATTTTGTTTGCTAGACATATCATACAGTGAAAGAGGACTGTTTACTGAATAACATTCAGAATGATATGTATTGTTTTCAATCACTGCAACGTAAGCATGGTATTTTGATAAAGTTTAATATTTAAACAGTAATCCAGAAAATATAGAAAAAAAACTAGCAAACATGAAAGAAATCTAATGTTTCTTATCATTATTTTTAAAAATCTACTCATGACCTCTTGTAGACTATTACGTCAAGATGGGATATATTAATGTATTCATGTAAACAATAAAAAAGAAAAATTTAAAGAGAAAACCTCATTAGACTTGCATAAGCTTCTCAAAATTACCACGTAGTTCTCATCCCTACAGACTAACTTAACTGTAAAATATATGGCAATATAAAGGATATCACTAAGTCCCTTCAAGAAAAAAGTGATACTGAACTAAATTGTTTAAAATAACTGTCAGGCTGATTAAATTATTTATTACTACTTTATTCCTTCGGGTTCTGAGTCGGACATAGGGCTGTAAGCTTGAATTTCGTGGTTTCAGGAGCTGCAGTGGTCACTTTTTACGGGGTGGAGTTGCTAGTCTCACGCCCAGCCTTCCATCTTTACTGGGTTTAACGTCGGCTAAGGGCAGTTAAGGAGTACATCGGTCAGTGATTGAACTCCAGGTCACGTACGTGTTTGGTAAGAATTCTACCACTAAACCACCAATGCTGAATCGATTATGTACATCAATGTAATTAACCAGGTAAATAAATGACTAAAACAATAACGGATATGTCCGAAGAATACAGGGAATTAAGAGTAAATCTCGATTATAGCATTCCATATTATAACACAGCTACTCAAGGCGACGACAGAAAGAATATCATGTTAAATAAGTCCATAAAGAATGCTTGACAGTTCACGTCGTGAGATATTTTCAAAAAATGTAATATCCCTTCGATATCATAAGTGCTGCGAAAAACTATCATAACAAAATCCTTATATCTGAATTTAAAATTGCACGAAAATATTCCCAGTAGCTTCCTAAAATCATATAAGGAATTATTAAGCCTAACAGAACGTCCAATGAACAACAGACAACCAGCTGGTGATTTTCTGAAGCATTCTGCCTCTAGTAACCTTCCGGTCTCAAGTGTTCACCAAGAAGAAGAAGAAGCCCATAAGATAAGGTAAGTTCTTAACTTATTTTCATGTAGCCAGAATTCTTTAAGAACTTCTTTTTAGTTAAAACCTGAGATTAGATTCTCGTATTTAGCCGGTGGTTGTTTTACCTGCGACAGGGTATTATAACAGGTGACTGCCTTCTTCGGAATAAGTATGATCTAAGTTAGAAGAGACGAAATTCAACCTAAGTAAATTCATGTACCAGTTTCTGCCTTGACTACAATTTACAAAAGTATTTTAGGATTATCAGGTAAAATATGTTAAGGAGCATACTGACTGATACACCACTGAAGGTATACTTCAATCTCGTGTTCAGTGTAAATTTCGAAAATATTTCTGTATTCAAAAAGTTGGATTATTTTATACTGATGTGTATTTGTTGATAAATGAACTGCACTGATATAAAAGTCATTTACTATTTACGTTTTAGTTTTAATGTTTTCTACCGATTTTCACTAGTGACTGTTTTGTGTTCAAGATAAAAGTGAGTATTGTTTAGATAAGTACATTTACTAGGCAGGGGTTTTACAAATTATAAGAAAAATGTCTTTACGTTTAGAATTTCTCGAAATCGCCTCAATAAGTTGTTAAAAACTGTGCTTAAGACTTTTGTTCCTTATAAGAAGTACTCAACAGGGCAATATCCTGACACACAGGCACCTACTATTATGGTGTACAAAAATAAGTAGCGCCAATCATTTATCATTTATCTATTTAGTGGTTTATATAATTTTTTGACTGTCACCAGACTTTACAAAAAATAATGGTATTATTCTTTCACTACTAACTAAAAATGTAGGTTACTGAAAAAGCATTCCCGTCCTTTTATATCTCAAATGTAACTGTATAAAAGAAACAGTTTCTATACCTCTTTCACGTATGGTGAATTGTCAAGAGATCGGTATGTTTTCGACTTTATTCTGTATCTCACTTATTCGTATCATCCATATATACTCATCGTAAATAGACACAATATTCAGATCTGTAATCCTTGTTCCTCACGAGCACATCATTTATTTCTACACTTTGATTTATTTAGATTGTCTAAATGTGTTTGCATTATCGTATCATTCGCCTTGTTCTTATAACCACTCCTTTTATTATTAGTATTATACCTTTACTGCTTTTGATTATAGCTTGACTCCACACCGTATTTTCGGTACAAGTATGGAATTTTCAGCTTGTGATATCAGTAGCCGAATTTCGCAGGCTGAACATTGATGTCGGGTGCGCATCCGCAAGGGATCGAACCCCAGACTATGTGCATAGTCGGTGAGAGTCCTAACCACTGTGCCACCGACGCATAGGACTTTATACTTCGATATTCTGTCACTGATTCAAAAATTATTGTAAATGTTTTATCATTCTTTTTTAATATGGTCAAAGTAAAATATCTGTAAGGAGGAAGTCTAATTAGTGTCTTACTTTTAGAAGAAAATACTGTTGGCTTGAAAATTATGTTCGACGTGATACAATAAAACAGACAGGATAACCTACTCCACTATACAACTTGACATTTAATGAAATATCACTTGGAATTCAGTTTTAATAACGATTGCTGAAAAAATTATTTAAAGTGTGTTTGATTTCGTTCGACAAAGAAGTAAGATTAAAATATGACTTTTGACAGAATTTAAATTATTACTATTCAAATATAAAGGGCTCCTAAGTTTATAACCATGATGTGCAGTTGAATAAACTATATAGTACTGTCCGGTTATTTTGAACATATGTATTACTTTGCAGATTAGATAGGTCAGATTTTCTTGGGTATAGTTATCTCAGACGTTAACAATCCATAACATAAGGATGCCAGGTGTGAAATATCCACCTTGAAATCTTTCGAAAACTTAAGTTTTTTCCATACTGAAAAACTAGTTGGCGCAGTTACAGACAAAATTATTCACTGGAATTAGTTCAGTGCATTTTCTTCTGCAGTCATTGTGACAAAGCTGCAGTTTCAATAGAATACCGAAATTCTACTATCTTTGTCGATTCTTAGGTGGCTTCGTTTATCAGAGATTATATAAGAAACTATAAGGAATGAAAGAATTTTCGCTTTCTGGCTATTTCACTCTCAAAAAGTAAGGGTATCAGGTATATTGTAGTCTTCTTAAACTGCCTCGGCCGTAGTAATTTAAAATAGCAGAGTGTATCTACAGTTAATTAACGGGTAATTTTGATGAGATATTATGAAAAAATCCCATTCCACCTATTAATAGATTATTATACAATGACACATTTATGAATAAGAACTTGACAACAATGTAAACACGAATCGTTTCAGGTGTGTAAAGTCAGTCAGCTTAAAGATTTAGAATCAATATTTTCCTCTACATTTTACTACAACAATGTATAACAAACTGACAATCAATTACATTGAAATGCTCTACTTATATTCTTTTAACTCTGCATTGTTTTTCGCCCATACATACACCTAATGTTTTATGTCGAGAGAAAACCTAATTAGTAACTATTTGAATACTGATGATGACGGACTGAAGAGTATGTTATCACTAAGTCCCTAAAACCTAAACTTCTAAGCAGCAGATGAAATAAAACTAGACATTTGTCTGTTGTTCTCCTATTTTCAATAATCTACAAGTTAGTCACAAGCCATGATATAAATTATGTCTCGAAAACTAATTAAACTCACGGAATAGCCTACTGGTAAACGTATTTACTGTACAATCAGAAAAACTAGACATTTCTAGGTGTAATCTTGCAAAGGGTTTTATAGAAGAGGAAATGTTCCAAATTTTTATCATTTCCCCTACGATAACTTCAGCGTAAATCCAGGAAAATCATAGCAGAAATTTATGAACCTATTACATAAACCAAAAGTTAGTCTTCTGATTATCTAAATACCTCATAGATGTAAATACAATGGACATTTAATAATCAAACAAGTATTAATGAGCTTACCATTATGAAATCTGTAATTCTCTTCTGGACATGGTCGTGTAAACTTTAGGCCTTTTATCAATATCCCATTGGCAGTTAAAGCTGTTTCAATTTAAAGAAAACAAGTAATGGAAAGTCAACACCAAAAAAGGTACTAGTATTCTATACACTTATAAAACTGACTTATTAATTTAATATATGATTTTATGGGGAACTTCTTTGAAGCACAGGTTGTTATGCAATGAATATGTGTCACTATACATTCAGTCCACCTTAGTTCAACAGTTCGACAGTTTAATTGTACGCCTAAGAAGCCATTATGACAGGTGTATATCAAACAGTTCAGAAAAGTCCGCAGAAACAAATGATGGAGATGGTATTTTAGGAATAGCATGATAAAATGTATTCGTGTTTTGTGTGTTAACCAACCTGAATGACTGTTCTGAGATGTTTCTAGTCAGAAAAAGGTTAAATCACATAACTGTGTATTATATTCATTCATAAAAATTTTCCGTCCGATTTCTACTGACTTGATTGTTGTTTGTATATGTTTCTAGCTTCTTATAACCCTAATATTTCTTTAAAACTCTTACATAATTTCATATTTTTGATTCGGTTTTATATGCATCTTGATTACAACTCATTCATTAAATTATTCATCCTATTACGTAACAATGATACACTTACTCAACTCCTTTAAAATACACTGAAAACTTTGTTTGTGACAACCCACCCAGTTTTATGATTCGGCTGGCGCACTCCTTAACGTCGCTAAGCCGGCACTAAGGCCGGTGAAGAGAGAGAAGACTGCGCATAAGGCTAGAAAATAATAAATTACTGAAATCTCAAAGCTTTAGTTTGAGGCCTTATCTTCCACTAGGAATATAAAGAAGAAATATAATAAAATTTCAGGAAATCATCACTCTTGTCTCTACAATTAGGGAAAATGGATTCGCTCAAAAACTCCTCTTCACGGAACCACTTGTCTGGTTTTCATGTATTTTTTGACGTATCTCTAATATTTAACCGCATCAATACAGAGCCTAGTAGCTGATAGATAGGATCATAGACACTATAAACATTTTAATAATGAACCCTCAAGAATACAGCCATATATACTCACTTAATACATATATATATTTATATTAAAGGTATTAATAAAGTTCCTCAGTTTAATTTTTCACCGTTTATTTTCTTTCATCCACATTATGAGGAAGTGTAGAAGTGAGTCACTAGGGCAAGACAGTGATAACACATAAAAGTGTAACTAACACCTGACTCTCATACACTTTATTATTTCTATGTTACTATTCAGTGTTACCATGCAACAGTTTGTAGTTATAATAGATACTCATAAAAAAGCACTACTTATTTGTAATGCAAAAGTACTCACCTAATCCACTGATCTGTATACTAAGGCATAAAATTATTCCAATGATATGGATTAATTTAATTGAAAGTGATTGTGTACATCTTTGATTGTATAACATTTCTTCGGTTTCTTTAAATCTTCTAAATTTTCTTCACCTCTTTCCTATGAATGTATTGTATCTTCTGGTGTGTGATTTGTGTTTTTTCAAGGATTCTATTACTATTAATTATCAATAATCGGTTGATTTAAAGAATTACCTGTTAAAAATGTTGTAAATTGCTGTGTGATTTTATTTTCACAAAATTTGACTATCAAACTTCTCTTTTATTGTATGAAAAAGTCGAATCTGTTGTAGAGTCAAATTAAGACCGATAAAGTTACCATACTTTACTTTACTCTAAGAATTATTGTCGTAACAGATTTTTATCTTGGAAAGACTTGAAATATTATTATTTTTATTGACAATAATATATATATATACGCGCAGAATAAAATATTTATCACTGTACATGTACACATTATTGTTTCATGTTAAACGTACGCAGAGAATTGTTCTCCATGCGTAGGCTGACAAGAGTATTTTGAACCAATCATAATAGACTCATAATTATAGTCAACGGCTATGGCTATGAATAATACTCTATTTCAAAACATATTTTGATAGGTGCCATAGTAAAGTTTTTAATATTATTATCCTTCTATTTGTTTATTATGACAGATCTTTCAGTATACTGTTACAAGTTCACATATGATGAATAAAGTCAAGAGAGTAGAGTGGCGTAAAGTCAGTTGAAACAGACGCTAAAGAATAGGTCTCGGTGGAGATGGGCTCCTAAAGTCTAATATTCCACTAAGAACCCGGGGGAAATAGTAATAATAAATATCAGAATAAAAAGGACTCATCAAGTACACTGCTAAAATGTTAATTTTGACCAATAGAATAGTTTGTCACATTTAAATAGTAAACTCCAATGTATGGAACTAATCAGTTTTATTATTATTATTCCCTTGCGTTCTGAGTGGAATCTATGGCTTCAACAAAACATCTCCATTCTGTTCTTTTTTCTGCCGTCCTCTTCAGCTGGGTCCACGATTGATCAAACTCTTTCATCTCTTCTCACATGATCCCCTCCATGTCACCCTTGCAATGACGACTCACTGATCGCTTCCAATTTGGATTCCCCTAGAGCAATGGCCTGGCGCGCGATGTCATTCGACGCACCCATTCTTGCTTTTGCTTTCATCGAGAGAAGAAATGTGGGCTGGCTGACTGTCTTGCCAAAGGACTTTACCAGCCAGCATCATTTTACTTCTGTGATTCGGGCGAAGAATAAGACTGTTGTTATCTGAAGTTTTGTATTTCTAATACGTTTTCTGTGAGTTGAGGTTTCTCTAGCAGTTTGAAAGATTTAGTGGTGTGGAGTTGCTAGTCCCACGCTCAACCCTCCTTCTTTGCCAGGACTTGGGACCTGCTAGAAAACTAGCGGGCTAGTTAAATAAGCGAGGTTAACCAGTTTTACTAGATATTAAAATTTGATTTTCATTTAACTTTGTGATTATTGACACATTTAATTATGGAATCCATATTTCAGTTATTTAGGCTTCTCAGATACCAATGATATGTCGATGCGCATTTATTACATTTGTTAGCTTCTGATTAATTCACGTGTTATGCTTGCGGAAACAGGATTTATGTTCTCTGAGTTGGAATCTTCTGGGTAAATACTTTTCTGACCTCCAAATTTATTCTATGTTTTCGCTTATTAACTGGTTCATCTTTAAAGTGGACTGAACTTTATTATTGCTTTTATGCTTTTACCTTCTCTTATTTTGGTTCATTCTTTATTTTATATTATTATATAATTATGAACGTCCTACAGCCAGTTATCTTGACCAATCGTATGTGCACATCCAAATTGATAAAATCTATGGATATCCTGGAACTGTTTACAACTTCATCAATTTACCGATGATATAACCGTTTTCTTCACTTTACTTCTTACATTGTAGATTATGCTACTGACAAGAACCTGCAAGTAGTATATTGGTGACAGCCTGTCAACAAATCTTGCATATCAGATTAAGATTAAAAGTTGCAAGAGTAAAAATGTAGGCCATTGTGAAACAGTGCAACAAGTATGAAATACAGACGAAAGAAGTGGAAAAGGAATAACATTTGCAACTTGATACCTGGCTTTCCACATTTCACCATCCCTTGAAGTCATTCTGCCCACCTGAAAACTTCTGCTAACAAATATCACTGTTTCTGTGGAACTAGATAGATATGTCCTTCGACACGCATCCTGTCAAAAAAAGTCAAAAAACACTAACCAGCTTGGCTTCAGAAAGGAATTAATGGCAGTATAAGGAGTGAAATAATCAAACATCTCATCAACACTGGTCATTCCATCTCAACAAATGCCTCCTTCAAAGTAATCTACAAACTGAAGAACAACCTGCAAAAGACAATACGCTTCCGTCTTGTTTGCATTGCAGAAACCCTAACAATTCAGTAAGAAGAATTAGAACTATGTATACAAAAGAAAATTATTCAGCCACTTTTATTATCATGGTAAAAACTACGTCGATCTGACCCAACTTTTGCTTGTTTGCTTCCTTTTTCTGATTACTTAAATCTCTTACGAAATTACGTAATTTATTTTGTTTCCATGTACACTCTGAGGACAACTTTTTCATCAAATGGTTCATGTTATTACGTAAATGTTCTTTAACAATCGTTTGTGACATCTTATCACTTTTGTCACTGCCCACTTATATCAACATCCAAATCCTCTGAACGCTTTTTGTATTACGTAAGTCCACTAAAAACTTACTGGTTGTATTTTCGTTTGGCAGGTTTAATTTATTCACACATACGAAACAACCATATATATCTGAAATTTTACATCTGTGAAAATGAATTCGCTGAAGAGAGACTCTTTGCTGAACTACTGGTCTTCTCTCAATTAATGTTCAAATTGGGCCTTTTCATGAATTAAAAAAATATCACTGCGTCCTGAAATTACTACAGTAGGAGTGTAACCATTAAATAATCTATAAAAAACATTTCGCTTATAGTTTATACTCCACCTAACTGCTAATGATTGTAGAATTGAAGTATTTAACGCTTTTTAGAACTGTTTAATCTAAGCACATGTTGACAAAAAAATGAAATCAGACTGTGATCGTAATTTCTTTCTTTTTTAAATTGAAATTAGATGTGTAGTAACTGAGTAGCAAGAGGGATATTTTCTCTGACATTGGGTTAACCTAAAAAGATCGATGTTCAGCAAACTGTCACTTGAACGGTAGCCGAGAATCACATAATTACGAAATACGTCTTTTGTTTTCAGCTGCTTACAGTATCTGTTAAGAGAAAGTAGTATGTTTCTTTGATAAATTTCAACTAATTTTTTTAAATTCAGTTTTATAACTGAAATATTCTTTAGATTATTGCTAGAAAGATTGTAAATTTCATTGTCATTGCCATCGCTGTATTCACTGTCAAATGGTAAAAGTATTTCGAAATGAAGATTTTTGGTGGTTATTGCTGTCCCATGTATTTCACTCATTTGACTGTTTTGACGATTAAAAGCCGTATCATTTGTATCAGTCATTAATAAAGGAAAACTGAGGGCACTTTCCATAGAACTTACCGTCACACAACGATTTATTTGAAAATATAGTATTCATGGTCAGCGTACGTCATCACGATATTTTTTATTTCATTTTATTCCTTTGTCTTCCCAGTGGAAAATAAGGTTTCAAGCTAGAGGCTTGAAGTTTCAATAGCAAAGGTTTTTTTATATTTTTATGAGGTGGAATCGCTAGTCTCACGCCCAGCCTTCCCTCTTTGTCCGGCTTATATCACCAGCTAAGAGAGGTTTGACAGTGCGTCGACCGGAGTGGAGGAAAGTTTTTTAAAGTAATTTTTTATATCAATTAAAATGAGTCAATTCTCGTTGCTAACTCAGTTGTACCAGATGAAGTACTCAGTATGATATTTAAAATTAATCCATCTTTATCTTGAAACGTGCGTCGGTGGTATAGCGGTTAGGACGCTCGCCGACCATGTATATGGTCCGGTTTTCGATCCCCGGCCGGCGCACTCCTTTACCCCACTGAGCCAGAAATAATGCTGGTAAAGAGGAACGGTTGGGCATGAGGCTAGCAACCCCATCCTGTAAAAATTAAACACTGCTACAGAAACTTCAAGCCACTAGCTTGGAGCCCTATGTTCCATTGGGAATCTGAAGGAAAAATTACTATTATTATTATTATCTTGAAACTATAATCCACTTCAAGTGCAGTGATTCATTTGTAGTTTAGGAACAGGATTCTTTCAAAACTAAATTCTTTTTTCAGTCATACTGCGTCATCATCTATCTCTGCAGCCTATCTGTTGCGTATCAGTTTTTATAAAGGCTCCTGGGCAACATCAACAGCAACAACAACAGAAAACAATCAGTATAAATGGGAGGAAATTGAAAGAAACAACCTACTATACCTACCTGGGAAGCATCGTTTCAACTTCAGGCAGAGGAACTGACGAGGATATCAAAGCCAGAATCGGAAAAGCGAGACAAGCTTTCATTACTCTTAAGTCTGTGCAGAGGTCAACAGCACTCAACATGAAAAATAAGATCTGTATTTTCAACTCCAATATGAAGTCAGTTTTACCTACTATATGGATCAGAGACTTGGCGCGTCATAAAGAGCACTTCAAACAAACTACACCACTGATCTGCAGAAGCCTCAAGGACAAGATCCCGCATCTGGCCACTTCTATGTGCATATACCAGTTCACCTGCTGCTGTGGAGCCAGGTACATCGGTCGTTCGACGCGCATCCTGTCCAAGAGGATTCAAGAACACTATCCAGCATGGTTGCGAAAAAGCAATACTGGTGCAATAAGGAGTGCGATAATTGAACACCTGGTCAACACTGATCATTGCATTTCAACGAACGCCTCCTTCAAAGTAATCTACAGAGTCAAGAATAACATATCAAAGGCAATATGGTTTCGTCTCCTTTGCATCGCTGAAGCTCTGGCCATTCACATGGAAAAACCGGAGCTGTGCATACAAAAGAAGATTACTCAACCACTTCTACTCTCATGGTAACAATGTTTTGATTTGTTTTGAGTTTTTTATTTTGATGACTTAATTTTGTTTCTTTGCCTGTTCCTTAATTGCTTATAATTCTTGTATTCACTTAAATCTCTTACATAGTTTCGTATTATCTACTTTGTTTCTGTGTGCATCCTGAGTAAAACTCACTCATCGCACTATTCATATTATTATTGCATAACTTCTTTTAACAACTGTTTGTGACAACTCATCACCTTTGTTACTACCCTAGCACTTAATGGTCTTGACTTATATTACCAACCTTTAACTATTTAGTTAAAATAACCTTAAGCAATTATAATTCTTGTATTCACTTAGATCTCTTACATAGTTTCGTATTATCTACTTTGTTTCTATGTGCATCCTGAGTAAAACTCAC